CCCTTGGCGCCCCCCCCCCCCCCTCCCCTCCCCTTCACATTAGAAATCCCCTTCACATCAGAGCCCCACTTTTAATATCAAACTACCACTTGACATCAGGAGCTTTAGCTTCAGAAGCCCCCTCCTCTCACACCCCTTCCCACATCAGGAGCCCCTCTTCACTTTAGAAGCCCCCTCCTTTCACATCAGGGTCCCCCTCTTTCACATAAGAATCCTCATTTTACATTAGACTACCCCTTTACATCAGGAGCCCCCTTTCACTTAAAAGCACCCTCCTTTAACATCCTCACACCCATTCTCAGACTAGGAGCCCCTTTTCGCTTTACAAGCCCCCTCCTTTCAGATCATAGTCCACCTCTTTTACATAAGAAGCTCCCTTTCACATAAGAAGCCCCCTTTAACATCAGACTACCAGCCCCCTTTCACTTTAGAAGCCCCCTTTCACATAAGAAGCCCCCTTTACATCAGGAGCCCCATTTTGCCTTAGATGGTATAGACCAGCCCCCTCTTTTCACATCAGAGTCCCTCTCTTTCACATTAGAAGCCCCCTTTCACATTAGAAGCCAGGAGGCACCCCAGGGTTGAGAAAGGCTGGTCTATACCACCTTCCTGTAGACATGGGTTATTCACATGTTCACACGTATGTTTTTTACAGAGCACAGAGTGTCTCTCATCTGTCATTAGAAGACTTCAGGCTGATGGCTGTGCTGGGAAGGGGACATTTTGGAAAGGTGAGTGGAGGAAGATCGTTGAATAACTCAAATATGTACCAAGGAGCAGCAAAGCCGGGTTGGGAACCTAAGAGAGCCCCTTGTTTTTGAGACTGCCCCAGAAGTGATCCGCATATGTTTCATTCTTATTTGTCTTTTCTAAGGTTCCAATTAAAGCATCAGTCTACTCCAAAGTGCTAATTATGCTGTAGATGGTCACCAACCTGTAGAGGAGCTCTCTCAATTGTGAGAAGATCTGGCATGGGGCCTAACCTGACCCTATGCTCACACTCCCCACCCTAATAATGAATAGAGTCTTTGGTGACCTCGGGACTGGGATAGATAATGGACTTATACCCTCTATACCTTATACTCTACTTACTTTGTATGTTCGGTACAAAGATGAGCACATGTGCCACTGGTATTCTCTAATGATACAAACAGTTTTTATTGCATGTATTCTGACTAGTATACTGACTGTTTAAAGGAAACTATTTTATTTTTATATGTAATTGAAGTTTGAAATGCATTGTTGTGCTTTAAGGTCATGCTGGAAGACTGTGCCAACTGCACATGTAATGGCATTGCGCAGCGCTTTTTGGACATTTTTGGATCAGTATCAACTAATGGGCACAGCAGGTGTACAGACCCGGGAACTCAGCACAGGGATGATGGTGGGAGCCCCTCATAATGGGCACAGCCGGTGTATAGACCCGGGAACTCAGCACAGCGATGGTGGGAGCTCCTCATAATGCGCACAGCAGGTGTACAGACCCGGGAACTCAACACAGGGATGATGGTGGGAGCTCCTCATAATGGGCACAGCGGGTGTACAGACCCGGGAACTCAGCTCAGGGATGGTGGGAACCCCTCATAATGGGCACAGCGGGTGTACAGACCCGGGAACTCAGCTCAGGGATGGTGGGAACCCCTCATAATGGGCACAGCGGGTGTACAGACCCGGGAACTCAGCTCAGGGATGGTGGGAACCCCTCATAATGGGCACAGCGGGTGTACAGACCCGGGAACTCAGCTCAGGGATGGTGGGAACCCCTCATAATGGGCACAGCGGGTGTACAGACCCGGGAACTCAGCTCAGGGATGGTGGGAACCCCTCATAATGGGCACAGCGGGTGTACAGACCCGGGAACTCAGCTCAGGGATGGTGGGAACCCCTCATAATGGGCACAGCGGGTGTACAGACCCGGGAACTCAGCTCAGGGATGGTGGGAACCCCTCATAATGGGCACAGCGGGTGTACAGACCCGGGAACTCAGCTCAGGGATGGTGGGAACCCCTCATAATGGGCACAGCGGGTGTACAGACCCGGGAACTCAGCTCAGGGATGGTGGGAACCCCTCATAATGGGCACAGCGGGTGTACAGACCCGGGAACTCAGCTCAGGGATGGTGGGAACCCCTCATAATGGGCACAGCGGGTGTACAGACCCGGGAACTCAGCTCAGGGATGGTGGGAACCCCTCATAATGGGCACAGCGGGTGTACAGACCCGGGAACTCAGCTCAGGGATGGTGGGAACCCCTCATAATGGGCACAGCGGGTGTACAGACCCGGGAACTCAGCTCAGGGATGGTGGGAACCCCTCATAATGGGCACAGCGGGTGTACAGACCCGGGAACTCAGCTCAGGGATGGTGGGAACCCCTCATAATGGGCACAGCGGGTGTACAGACCCGGGAACTCAGCTCAGGGATGGTGGGAACCCCTCATAATGGGCACAGCGGGTGTACAGACCCGGGAACTCAGCTCAGGGATGGTGGGAACCCCTCATAATGGGCACAGCGGGTGTACAGACCCGGGAACTCAGCTCAGGGATGGTGGGAACCCCTCATAATGGGCACAGCGGGTGTACAGACCCGGGAACTCAGCTCAGGGATGGTGGGAACCCCTCATAATGGGCACAGCGGGTGTACAGACCCGGGAACTCAGCTCAGGGATGGTGGGAACCCCTCATAATGGGCACAGCGGGTGTACAGACCCGGGAACTCAGCTCAGGGATGGTGGGAACCCCTCATAATGGGCACAGCGGGTGTACAGACCCGGGAACTCAGCTCAGGGATGGTGGGAACCCCTCATAATGGGCACAGCGGGTGTACAGACCCGGGAACTCAGCTCAGGGATGGTGGGAACCCCTCATAATGGGCACAGCGGGTGTACAGACCCGGGAACTCAGCTCAGGGATGGTGGGAACCCCTCATAATGGGCACAGCGGGTGTACAGACCCGGGAACTCAGCTCAGGGATGGTGGGAACCCCTCATAATGGGCACAGCGGGTGTACAGACCCGGGAACTCAGCTCAGGGATGGTGGGAACCCCTCATAATGGGCACAGCGGGTGTACAGACCCGGGAACTCAGCTCAGGGATGGTGGGAACCCCTCATAATGGGCACAGCGGGTGTACAGACCCGGGAACTCAGCTCAGGGATGGTGGGAACCCCTCATAATGGGCACAGCGGGTGTACAGACCCGGGAACTCAGCACAGGGATGATGGTGGGAGCCCCTCATAATGGGCACAGCAGGTGTACAGACCCGGGAACTCAACACAGGGATGATGGTGGGAGCTCCTCATAATGGGCACAGCCGGTGTATAGACCCGGGAACTCAGCACAGCGATGGTGGGAGCTCCTCATAATGTTTTCTTGTATATATGTTCTTGTTTGTAAGAATTTTTCAATAAACAAAATTAGCTCCTCATAATGAGCACAGTAGGTGTACAGACCCGGGGACTCAGCACAGGGATGGTGGGAGCCCCTCATAATAGGCACAGCAGGTGTACAGACCCGGGAACTCATCACAGGGATGATGGTGGGGGCCCCTCATAATGGACAAAGCAGGTGTACAGACCTGTGTATGGGGTGACATCCACGCAGCAATCGCTAAAAGAAGGCACACATCCCTTTTTTTGCGACACATGACGCGTGGCTTTTTTTGCCGCGATCATGTTCAATTGCACAGGCGGAATTGCGGCAGGAAACCGCGCGATCCACCCGGCGCAACTGCGGTGCCATTCGAAAATAATGGCACCCACAGCGCGATCGGCTGCAGTGGGCAACTCCGTGACTGCGCAGCAATCCGCACATTTTTGTGCACGATTGCCGCACGGTCAGGAGTCGCCCTAAGAAATAAGGTTATTTTCACATGTCGCTCTCAACCTCCTGAGATGAGAGAGAGCCGAGGACAAAGTATCTACACACAGAAGAATTAATATGTAAAAAAATCATTTTTAAATCCCCACATTCTATTTTTATACTCATTTCCTTTGAAAATAAGAAATGCAAAACATTTTTTAACTTGGTTGAAAAGTTTAGTGCACTTTTGGTAGTTAAAATTATTTTATTTTTTTTATTATTGAGATCTATACATGGGAACAAAAAGAGGGACAACTGAGAAGGAAAGAGGGACAGAGGTTTTAAAAGAAGGACAGTCCCTTCAAATAAGGGGGAGTTGGGATCTGTGGCAAAATCTTGTTGTACATAGCAGTCCACTTTAAAGGAGAACTATGAGGGGGGGTGGGTGCTTTTCACTCACCTCATAGTTCTAGCCGACCTGTGACAATGAGACTGTCACAGGTCGGCTCAGTAGATCGGGAGGTGAGCGAACACATACCGGCGTTCGCTCACTTCTCGATCCTGCAACGGCTCTCTGCCGTGACAAGGAAGGGGCTGGATTCCCCCCTCCCCGCCAGCGCTGACTGGCGGAACGGACAGGGGAAGGGGCGGGTACAGCTGGCTCTGCCTCTAGATAGGCCGAGCCAGCTGTCAGTCACGCAGCTGGGCGGATCCCGGCACAATTGTCGGGATCCGCTTCAGCTGCGGCGTCTCAGTATACTACGAGCTACAGCTTGCGGTATACTGAGCCTAGGGTGACGGGAGGACGTAGTTTGTGTCCTCCCGTTACCCTAAGGAGAACTATAGGGAAAAGCCTTAACCCCATAGTTCTCGTTTAGGCGTGACCTAACATTTCATAATGTGACTGCTTGTACACCAAATTTAGTAACATGGAGTAACTCCGGTGCAGCCTCAATATATCTCCATTGTAATACCTTTTCACCGTCATCAATCCCAGTCCAGAACGTTTACATGTACTTGTAGGAAGTCCTAAGTAACCCAAACATTTCAGAGCCTTGTTTGGCATTGGTAAGTGTTATAAAGTGGTTGCCATCGAGCGCGCAATTTTTTTTTTTCACCAATGTTTTTGTCTCGTCGTCAGGTCCTTCTCTCGGAATATAAGGCGACTGGGGAGTTATTTGCCATTAAAGCTTTGAAGAAAGGCGACATCGTTGCCAGAGATGAGGTGGAGAGGTGAGTACGGTGGCCAAGTCTTGATTTGTATTTGTAGTCCCCAAAGCAATCCTATTCCAGCTGCCATTGCTCCAGTGCAGGGTAGAAAATGATAGCAAGCTTCTGATTGGCTGCTGTGAACAAGGCTGATATTTTTGTTTATAGGTTTTCCTTTTCTTCGGTTTTCATACTACACCTCATTTTACCCCTTTGGTTTTCTCCAGCCTCCTGTGTGAGAAGCGTGTGTTTGTGTCGGTGAGTGATGCCTCCCACCCGTTCCTGCTCAGCCTCCTCGGTTGTTTTCAGACGGCGGAGCATGTCTGCTTCGTCATGGACTACATGGCTGGAGGGGACCTGATGACCCACATCCACGCAGAGGTCTTCAGCCAGCCACGTGCCACGTGAGTACATATATGTGTGTGCCCGAGATGTACACCGTTCAATAAAGCATTAGAAAGATGAGAAATTATCTGTAAAGAAGGGTAATCTCTATCAACCAATCAGCTTTCCGTTGATCGAAGTCAGATAAGATCTTATTGGCTGCTATAGGTGCTGAACATTGCACCATTTTTTTTTTTTTTATTGAATATAGGTTGGACTTGATGGACTATGTCTTTATTCAACCTCAAATACTATGTAAATATATACAACGATGAGCCAAAACATTATGAACACCCTCCTAATATTGAGTAGGTCCCCCTTTGCTGCCAAAACAGCCCTGACACCTCAGGCATGGACCCCACTAGACCTCTGAAGGTGTGCTGTGGTATCTGGCACCAAGCCATCAGTAGCAGATCCTGTAAGTTGCGAGGTGATCGGCCTCCATGGATTGGACTTGTTATTCCAGCACATCCCACAGATGATCGATTGGATTGAGATCTGGAGAATTTGGAGGCCAAGTCGTCACCTCAAACTCGTTGTTGTGTTCCTCAAACCATTCTTCAGCCATTTTGCAGTGTGGCCGGGCGCATTATCTTCCTGAAAGAGGCCACTGCCATCCGAGAATACCATTTCCATGAAGGGGTGTTCTTGGTCAGGAACAATGTTTGGGTCGGTGGTACGTGTCAGAGTAACATCCACATGAATGGCAGGACCCCGAGGTTTCCCAGAAGAACATTGCCCAAAGCATCACACTGCCCCCGCCGGCTTGTCTTCTACCTACATGCATCAATGAGCCTTGGCCACCCATGACCATATCACTATTTCACCAGCTCCCTGTCCTTGGACCACTTTTGGTCGGTCCTGACCACTGCAGACCGGGAACATCCCACAAGAGCTGCACTTCCAGGTGCCATTGTAATATATCCCCCCCACTTTCTGGTGCCATTGTAATATATCCCCCCCACTTTCTGGTGCCATTGTAATATATCCCCCCCACTTTCTGGTGCCATTGTAATACATCCCCCCCCCACAAACACACACACACACACTTCCCGGTCCCATTGTAACCAGATAATCAGTGTTATTCACTTTACCTCTCAGTGGTCAGAATGTTATGGCTGATCGGTGTATAGTTGGGGATATATCAGTCTCTGTGTCAGTGTACACATTCATATTTGTCATCTCTTCTCTCTCAGGTTCTATGCTGCCTGTGTACTCCTGGGTCTTCAGTTCCTGCACAGCAAGGACATTGTGTACAGGTGAGCTGGTGACCTTTCTCTGTATCCCCCATTGTTCACCCCAAGTAAAATTCTCATCGTTAAGGAAATCAACAACCTCAGCTGACGGTGAAATGGTTCTGAAGGTTTATTTAGAAGGCATACAATGTAAAAGGAAAGATCAGAAAGTAGAGAGATTAACACATGGGTCCTGGACAGTAAAGCCAGCCATACACAGGTCACCCAAGCCGGACTTCAGTGTATGTCCAGTGTACTAAAACTTGGTCATCACCCAGGCTGGACTTCAGTGTATGTCCAGTGTACCAAAACCTGGTCATCACCCAGGCTGGACTTCAGTGTATGTCCAGTGTACCAAAACCTGGTCATCACCCAGGCTGGACTTCAGTGTATGTCCAGTGTAC